GGTACCGCTTCCGGGGAGGGGAGCACGCTGGGCGCAGTGCGCGCCGGAAGTCCTCGGGAGCCGCGCGTTGCCGACGGGTGGAGGGTCAGGGGTGCTCGCAGGCAGACGGTGACTGCGGGGCCTGCTGTCGCTTGGGCATCTCGTGTTCTGCTACGGACGGTAGACTGGGCGGAAAGGCCGGAGCCTGAGAGCCGCTCGCCCGGGCTTCGGTATGCCCAGCTGTAAAATAGGACCAGGTGTAGCGCCGCCCCCAGGCCGGGTCGTGAGGAGGAGCCGAACCTTCGCGAGGATTGTCGCGGCAGCTCACGACTTCGGGTCATGTGCGGGAAGCGGGAACTCCATGTCCCGTAGTGCCCCACGGGGCTCGATTTCTCACAGCGTCCTGCGCCGGCTTGACGCGGGAACTCCATGTCCCGTAGTGCCCCACGGGGCTCGATTTCTCACAGCGTCCTGCGCCGGCTTGACGGTGGGACTCCATCTCCCAGAGTGCTCCGCGGGCGGGGGAACTCCCATTCCCAGAGTGCCCCGCGGGCGAAGACCTCGTCTCCCAGAGTGCTCCACGGGAAATCCCATTTCCCAGAGTGCCCCGCGGGCGAAGACGTCGTCTCCCAGAGTGCTCCACGGGAACTCCGGTTTTCCAGAGTGCCCCGCAGGCGAGGACTCTTATCTACCAAACGGCTTCGCGGGCCCCATCTCCCAGGGTGCCCCGCGCCCACCGGACCGGGAAGCTCGGGCCTGTTCCCCGCGCCGGGGGCGGCGGGTCTCGCCGACGGTTCCCGGCGGCGGCGCGATGGACAGCCCGGAGGTCACGTTCACGCTGGCCTACCTGGTGTTCGCCGTGTGCTTCGTGTTCACGCCCACCGAGTTCCACTCGGCCGGGCTCACGGTGCAGAACCTGCTGTCGGGCTGGCTGGGCAGCGAGGACGCCGCCTTCGTGCCCTACCACCTGCGCCGCACGGCTGCCACGCTGCTGTGCCACTCGCTGCTGCCGCTCGGTGCGCCGGCGGGGCCCGCTCGGGGGGCGGAGGCGGCCGCGCTGCGGGCTCCAGAGGCTGCCGGGCCGCAGGGTCACCTGTCTCGGAGAGTCGGGGAGGGCGCTCGGGGAGAAGCGGCCGACCCCGAGAGCGAGGCTGCGTCCGCCCGCCCGGCCGCTCGCAGGGAGCAGAAGAGCAGGCTCGGACCCCGGGGGGATGCTCGCCCGCCGGGGCAGGCGCGAGCGGTCACATGGGGTGGGGGGCAGTGCCCCGGAGAAGGGTCTGAGGGCGGGGGTCTGGGGAACAAGGTGGCCCTGCCCCAGGCCTTGGACAGTGGGCGTGGGAAGGGCAGGCCGAGGTAGCGACGCCAGGCGGCGTTGTTACATGTGCGGAGGCCGGGGAAGGCATGTGTGTGGCTGGCCCGCTCCGAAGTTGCCCAGGGGCCGTGCTGGGCAGTGACTCGGGGGCTAGCTGGGCTCTGGGGGTCGGGGTGTCAGCTGGGTGGACGGGGGACTGGCTGGAGAGTGGGGGAGCAGGCGGGGGTCCGGAGAACACGCAGGCGGAAGCAGGTCTGGGAGGGCAGGGGCGGTGGCCCTGCCTGCAGCTCTGTGGACACGGAGGAGTGTCAACCTGGCAGGCGCGCAGCAGCCTGGCCAGTGTGGGGAGCGGCAGGAGTGGCCTGGGGTGAGGCCGGCCGGTGCATGGGGGCTGCCTGCCTGCGGGGACGGCGCGCCGAGTGGAGCCCACGCCGGGATGGGGAGGGAGCTGGCGTGGTGAGTTGGTGGCCCATGTCTTATGGGCCGGGTGGTTGCTCTGCGTGGTGTTGCGGTAACCGCCTGGCTGCCTCCACAGAGCACCCAGCTCCCTGTGAGCAGGGCAGCCCATTAGCCCCGTGCCCAGGTGAGGAGCATGCGGCCTGGGGCCTGGGCTCCCCTGAGGGTGGCGGGTTGGCTTCTGCCCTGGAGCTGTCCTCCAGCTTCCTGGAGCCCGTGGGGGGCTGGGCCACCATCCGAGGAGGGGCAGGGACATCAGGACTTAGGGAGCAGAGTGATTCCAGGAGGCCACACCCAGAGGAGGAGGTGGAGCCTGGCCTTGTGGCTGGACACAGGGTCTTGTTTTGTTTTCCAACTTGTTTTGAAATGCCTTTTTTGGGAAACTTTGAGTCATATTTGTCGCTACATGATAAATTATCTTAAAATGTAGTGATTTCGCCAACAGCAAACATATCATTATTTTTGTGATCTCATAGCTGCCACTGCACCCCATTGCTATCTGCGTTATTCATTTTGAGTGCAAAGTGGCCTCAATCTGGCCAGCAGGGGCCCGGAGCTGGCTCCTGTGTTCTTGTGACAGCCCCCATCGTCTGGCACACGATGTCCCAGCCCTGGGATGGGTCACACTCAGAGGGGTGGGGTCAAGAGGCCAAGATCCCACTCTGTGGAGGGCAGCTGTGCATCTGGTGACACCAGATCATTGCATTTGTTGTTTTTCTAGTTCTTTTCAGTATTCTTATGTTGTGTAAAATCAAAGTAGCAAATTAAAAACGTTTTTCCCTTTTTTATGGGGTCACTGTCTGGGCCAAGGCTGATTTGGGCCAGCGTGGAGGCAAGTGAGGTTCACCTGCTCTGGGTGCCCTGGCCTCGCCCTGGGAGCTGACCAGGACAGAGGGCCAGGCCCAGGGTTGGGGACGAGAGGAACTTCCCTAGGAGGTACAGGGACAGCACTGTGGCCCTCACTGGGGGAGGACAGTGGCCTGGCAGTCCCGACCTTTGCTGAGACTCACTCTGTTGCTTGCAGGCTACTACGTAGGCATGTGCTTCGCAGCCTCAGAAAAGCAGCTCTACTCTCCGAGCCGGGCCCCAGAGGCCTGGCAGCTCTTCCTCCTGCTGGTGGTCACCCTGCCGACTGTCACCTGCACCCTGATCTATTACTGGTCCCGGGACCGGTGGGCCCGCCACCCACTGGCCCGTACCCTGGCCCTCTACGCCCTTCCGCAGTCGGACTGGCGGGCCGTTGCTTCCTCTGTCAACACCGAGTTCCGGCGGATCGACAAGTTTGCCACGGGGGCACCGGGAGCCCGTGTGATCGTGACAGACACCTGGGTGATGAAGGTGACCACGTACTGCGTGTATGTGGCCCAGCAGCAGGACGTGCATCTGACGGTGACGCAGTCGCAGCAGCACGAGCTCTCGCCGGACTCCAACTTGCCGGTGCAGCTCCTCACCATCCGCGTGGCCAGTGCCAGCCCTGCCGTGCGGGCCTTCGACATCCGGTAGGCATGCCCGAGGTCAGGTGGGGGTGAGCCAGCCAGTGCACAGGTTCCAGTCTTTGTGTCCCCCGGGAGGCGATGATGTGTGGAGCAGCCCCTGCAGCCATCCCTCCAGTGCCTCCCCCTCAGAGCCCCCACTGCACCCCCCAGGCCCCTCCCTGGCCCCCTCATCCCTTGCCCCCCTTGTGCCCCACAAGTACCCTTTCCTCTCTGTTTGTCCAAGCTCTTCTCTGAATCTGCCTTTTCAGCTTCTTTGGGGAGCATGTTGGGGACACTTGGTGGCTGTACAGGATGGAGGCTTGGTGGCTGCCTCAGCTCTGAGGTCTGGGTTCTAGCTGAGGTCTTGTGTCCCATTCCAGCTGAGCTCTTGAGACACGTTTTGGGCCTGCTGAGGGCCAGCCTTGCTGTGTTTCAGCTGCAGTTGGCCTGCCTTTTGTCTCTCCCTGCAGCCAGTGGGGTCAGGTGGGCAGTGCTGGGTCCATGGGCTCTGGCCTCAGGGCCATCTCTGTTGGCTGGTTTTCATCGGACAGCTGGGCTGTGCCTGAGTCCCCATGTTCTGTGTGTTTGTGGTGCCCTGGTCACCCTCGGGGCACAGCCTTGGCCTCCCTGCCACCTGCCCCAGGATCCGTGTCAGGCTGCCGGGAAATGATGGTCCTGCCCTGCCGAGGGGCCTCAGTCCAGCGGCTCCAGCCCAGCAGCCCCGCCTCCCTGCAGGCTGAACTCCACGGAGTACGGCGAGCTGTGTGAGAAGCTCCGGGCGCCCATCCGCAGCGCGGCCAACGTGGTCATCCACCAGAGCCTGGGTGACCTGTTCCTGGAGACGTTTGCCTCCCTGGTGGCGGTCAACCCGGCCTACTCGGTTCCCAGCAGCCAGGTGGGGGGCTGGGCAGGGGTGGGCGGGGTCCCATAGCCCAGCTCCTATGGGCCAGGTCCCTGGGGTGGTGGGGGGCCCCATGGGGTCATCTGGCCAGGCTCCCCGTGATCCCCTTGGCCCACCTGCAGGAGCTGGAGGCCTGCATTGGCTGCATGCAGACTCGTGCCAGTGTGAAGCTGGTGAAGACGTGCCAGGAGGCAGCTGAGGGCGAGTGCCAGCAGTGCTACTGCCGCCCCATGTGGTGTCTCACCTGCATGGGCAAGTGGTTCGCCAGCCGCCAGGACCCGCAGCACCCTGACACCTGGCTGGCCAGCCGCGTGCCCTGCCCCACCTGCCGTGCGCGTTTCTGCATCCTGGATGTGTGCGCCGTGCGCTGAGCTGGCCAGGCCCTGGCAAGGGAGCAGCCTTGGTCCAGGCCAGCCCTGCCAGGGTCCCCACAACTGCCTTGGGGAGCAGCCAGGCTCCCAGGCCCAGAGTTCTTCTCCCAGCGGGCAACTTGCCTCTGCTCTGAGGCTGTGGAAGTGCAAGGGCTCCTGTTTGGAAAGGAAGTTCCAGCTGAGGTCCTGGCACTGGCAGCAAGGAAGGTCTTGAGTACCTCTGCTTCCTTCACTCCCGTTTCTCTGGGTGGGGCTGTGCTGGGCACAGAGAACACAGCCTTGGGCCCATATCCAGAGCATTCTGGGCCTCCTGAGCTGTCTTCTGGGAGGTCCCAGTGTGTCTAACGTGAGCCATTTGCCTTATTTTTACGGAGCACACCTGCTCCTCAGTTACTCTTAGATCTAGATTCCTCTAAGATTTGGCCGAAGCCTTTCTTCCTGCTTCTGTCCCCAAGCCTGCTGCTGGCCCTGTGGTGTTCGCGCCCCCCGCCCCAGAGGCTGCTCTGAGCACTCAGGCAGAGCTTGCAGGTGGAGGGGGAGACCTGGGGTACTGCTCCCGGGTGAGAGCACTGCCTAGAGCTTCCCAGTGCCTGCAGCCAGCCAAGGGGTTGCTCTCTCCCCAGGGAGATCCTGGGCTTCCCCTCAGGGGCTGGGGGAAGGGCTGGCTGCTCTCAGCTGCTGCTCCCTTCCTGTGTGTTTCTGAGAGCCACCCACTCCTGGAGGGGCGTGCACTTACATCTGCTGCTGCCCCCATGGGTTCAGGGAAAGGCCAAGCCTCAGACTCTTGGCTGAGCGTGGGTATTGAGCTGAAGATCAAGTGCCACTGAGACAGCCTACATCCAGACAACAAGCCTGTTGGGACACAGCGCAGGGCTGGCCACAGCCCCCCAGGGTCCATCTGTTTCAGGAGGGGACATGCCCAGTGGTCAAGGTGTGGACAGGTGTCTTCCCAATTCCTGGTGGCACAGTTGGCCAGGGGAGGGCAGTGCCAGTCCCCAGCGCTGACATATGTGGCTGCTGGAGGGGCCCTTGCTTGGAGCCCTGAAACCTGTGGCCTTAAGCACTCTAAACCTGGCCATCCTAAGCAGGGCTGATGGACCCGGCTGGCCTGGATTGCCCAAGGCTGCACTGAACCCCAGGGAGTTGGGAGCGGAGAAGGCCCAGATTTGTGTGCCCGCAGGGTGCTCAGCAGATGAAGGCTGTCAGAGGGGCCAGCCAGGCGCCACCCCCAGCTTCAGCTTGGAGTTTTGGGTGCTGCCAAGGGAGGGCTGGGTCTGCGGTAATTTTTAGTACAAAAGAGTTATTTAGTTTTATGAAGATACACCTATTGCAGCAAAGCAATACATATTTAATAAAATGTTAGTCTGAACTTTATATTATCTCCAAACGGAATATTTTGGTTTTCTGATATTCGAGCTTTCGTAAAGAGGAAAAGCCAACTTAGAAGTGGCAGTGTCGTGCCCACTTCAACGTGTGCGTTCTGTTCAGAACCAGAAGGGAGACGGGTGCTCCAGGAAGTTCCCTGCTAATTTCCTAGCTGGGGCCGGCGTCTCAAGAAGCCCATTTCTGGGGCACCTGCGGGAGTGGGCGCACTGGGCCTGGGCCTGGGCCTGGTGTTCCGGTGAAGGGGCAGCGGCCAGGGCTCTGGGGGCGGGGTCCGTGAGCAGCGCTCAGGATGCAGGAGCCCGCGGGTGCGGGGCCTGCTGGTTGAGGCCTCCGGCCCCGTGCTCGCGGCCGTGTCCCCTGAGGTGCCGGGTGGCCTGGGTGGCCTAGGAGGGCAGCCACACCCGGCCGCCCGGGATCTCGGCCGGGGGAGCTCCTCGACAGCGCGCTCGCTGCCCCCACGTCGCTGCCAGACCCGAACGTTTTCAGGAAAGTGGTGCATATAACGGGCTGAAACACGACGGGCGGACTCGAGTTCTCTGCGGCTTCAGTGTTTGATTCTTGCCACTCGGGGCCTCGTCTCCTCTCTTCTGCACACGTTAGCATTTGACGGCATGAGGCCGGGCCAGGGGCCCGGGGATGCGGGGGCGGGGCCCCGGAGATCGCGGTGTCAGCGTGGGAGGCGGCGCCGGAAGCCGCGGGGGTGAGAACTGACGGAGCTCGCGGCGCGGGCATCTCCGCGCGAACAAGTTCCGGCCGAAGCTGAAGAGACAGCGCTGCGCGCGACCCGACGCTGCTCGCCTGCCTCCCCTTCCGGGTTCCCGTTTCCCGCCAGCGCGGAGACCGCCCCGCCGGGCCAGCCAATCGGAGCCCGCCCCCTCCTAACGCCCGCGGCGCGCGCGACCGAATCTCCCGCCAATACCCCTCCCCCGCCCGCGAAGGCGCGGCCGCCTCACGCCGGCGGGGCCCGCTTCTCTCGGCCTCCCCTCCGTCCCCGGCGGACGGCCCTCCGCCTTCCAGCGGCGGCGTCGG